AATTAAAAATAAATGAACCATTAAAAATACAAAACTGTTTATTCTGTCAGGATTTTCAAGTAACTAATAGTAGGAAAGCCCTAATAATAATATATAAAACTTCAAATATGAAGTTGCACAAGTTCACGAATGATTAAAGCTAGGACTTTTCCATTCCCAACTGAGAGGGGAGCTGAATAAGGCATTCATTAGAACCCGGTATCTTCTCCAAGAACAGCTGATAGTGGTTGCTGTCTATTGAGTGGCCATACTTCGTATTGCCATCTTCTATTTATGAGGACAGAGCGTGCACAGAACAGGTCTACCTCCCAGGTTTCTTCACCTGGCACAAGCTTGTTAAACAGAAGGAGATATTCTTTAGATGACAACACTTTATACGCTACTCTTCCCTGTTTCAACTTTTGCTTACAAGATTTCATTAAGGGCAGGAGCTGACAAGAGACAAGAGTGTGACTCCACACTTTTAGCTAATGGTACTGCTGAGTGCAGTAGTCACTATCTGGTACAATAAGAAGATGGTGAAGTCACAGACCAATTGTCTGGCTTGCTTATTGTAAAAATACATAATATGCCCATGCAAGAGTGACTAGAGAGGTGAAGGACGGAGCTGACTTTTTATCTTGTGTTTTCGGCCAACATAGGTTAGAACTTTTTTTTTTTTTTTTGAACAGAATGCGGCCTCTGAAATAACTGGAAGAGTTGAGGCTGATGAGTTCCTATGATGGAGTTAGGCTTCTTTAAACATGATGTACCATCTTTTGATGGAAACATGTTGCCAGGAGCAGAGCATAACTCAGAGACATACTGAAAAAGGAGATTGTCCCACTTTGCAAGAGGGACCTATGATTTCATAATCCTGCTACCAAAATCCCATATATACAAGCTTAAGTAAGATCTTGTCATTTTGAGATGAGTTATGAGTGAGAAGCAAGATATGCAAGAGTTGCAGCCTTCTGTACAAAATACCAGCTGTTACTCTGGTCATTTTTCCACTCTTTGAACTAGGGCTATGGTGAAGAACCCTCTCTCAGCTGATCAGCTTTCCCACTTGTGCTAACACATCCTACATGAATGTCATTTATTAGATGAATAATCAAGATGGACTTTCAGGTGAAAAAAATGAAAGGAAAAGAAACAGAGACAAGAGAGTGGGAGTTAGTAAGTGCAGTAACCGCTGGGCCAGAGAACAGAATGAACCACACAGAAATACACATCATGGGAAAAGAGGCACCACCACAGAGAAATGCTGTTTGCATCAGGTTATTTTTTGAACCCACAAATTAAAGAGCCACTCAGATCACAACTATGAAGTGATTTAGATTGTCCTCCACACTTGTAGTCAGCATATGCTTTGATAAGTGCTCTATTCTGCTGCTTTGCACTGCCCTTACAGAATATGGAACAACTAATTGTGGCCAGTAGCAACTGGTGGGAAGTTACACTAGACCCTTCCTCTGGTGAAGCAACTACCACCTTCATAGATACTGTGATTGCTCTTCAATCCTAGCAACACGCCAAGCCATTTTCCAAACACGTGTTCCACTATTATAATTTCCAATCTCTGATCCTTGCAAGCAGGTGCATAGTTCTGAGCCTATCAGATACACACCCAACGCATTTGCCTGTTGGATGGGATGTCTGACTCCCTGTATTCAGGGATTTCCAAATTATTATTCCATTCTCTGAACCAACTATTCCTCCACTCTTAACTTTGTCAGATGCTCATTTAATTTAAAGTACATTTAGCACATTCCATTAACAGCCCAACATGGATACCTTTCAGTACATGTGTGCATTTCTGCTCTGCACAACTTTGTCAGAAGTTGCCAGTGTGCTTGGCTGTGCAGTGAGGAAGATGTTCTGTGATGGTCCCTTGTAAGGACACTACCTTGATAATCCAACACAATAGAGAAAGCACACACGATTTTACAATTACTTCCCTAACATACAAACAAGATTCTCTTACTGTGACAGCTCTACATGAACTGCAGCTGTGAAACTCCTGCTGTTTTCTAGCTGTAATATCCAGTAATATGCAGAAAAAGTCAAATGGACATTTTAATCTATTAATAATTGGAGGGTTACCTCTTAAGCCTCAGGCAAAGGCAAGTGAACTAGTTTCCTGCCATTAGGGAAATCCAAGGATTAGAAGAAACACAGGAACAGTAAAGCCTCAGAAAGATACTGAGAGAAAAGGGAGAATGAATTCACAATCTGATTCTAGGCTACAGTGGTCCAACTGCCTCTAGAATACAAATAGCTATGGACTACTGCACAAGCATTTGGTAAGAAAACACTGAAAAGCAAACCAAGCTCTGTTGGATACCTGCTTCTCCCCGCAGGGCCTTCTCCACGGCAACCCCTCTCTCCTCAAGTTGCCTCTGCTTCTCTTCCACTTGTTCAAGCTGGCGCTGGATGATCTATCCAGAAAAAACAAAAAATAAACAAACAAAAAAAACCCAAGCAGACACTCATCAAAAGCAATTCTCTTGTTCTGCCTGCAGTATTCATTCAGCATTAAGTGACTTCAGTCAAATCAACCTTTTCAAAAACAATTACTTGCATTCAACAACATACTGCTTCAGAAGCTAGCACCACAGTCCCTGCAGAGAAGGGACTCCCTCTGTATCCCATCCCTTAGTTTTACAGAGACTTTGATAACTCGCTGCAACTTCAACCACTTTTCTATACTCTAAAGTGAGGTAATGCTATTCAGTTAGCTTCAAGTTTTAACAGAAACTGTAACACGAATAGACAATGCCACCTGTCTTCCAACAGATCTCTCATGACAAAAGGTTAATCTTGTAACACTTCCCGCAGCAGCATAAAGTTATGCATACCAATCATTGGTGCAGCATCATCAGGTATTATTTGACTATCACTCTTCCATTCAGTGAATGGTATTTTGCTCATGTCCAGTTAGATAGGTGCTACAATCATTTGCCAGTTTTCCTGCTCTAACACCATCATGATAGCTTCAGCAATTCTTCCCATGCTTGTGACATGACGTTTGGCAGAGAGTGGGAGCAGTGACATTCATGTAGAAACAGAGGAGTGTTCTGCTCTGGATCCTCTTCTGGCACACTAAAAATGCCAGAATCATGGTGCTTTCACACAGAGGTTTCCAGGCATGACACGCAAAGTCTGAGGCACTACCTGGGCTCTATGTAACCTCTTTAGCTCCTCTTGCTTGGCTTGTCTACGGGCAGCTTTCTGTACTCGCCGAGTCAGCTTGGCATTCAGCTCCTCTTCTGTGTAGGCTCTCTGAAGGAAGAAGAAACAGAAACAAATTCTATTTGCATGCCCAGAGATATAGGGGAGGGAAGACAATTCTCGCTTCCGAAATCTCATAGGAAAGGAGTTGTGTCATTGCCATGGCTGTGTCAAAAATCAAGCTTTCGTAGGCACAGGTGTTCACAGTGCAGCGAGCAACAACTTCAGGGTCAAATCAGGAGTGAGGAAGTGTATAAGCCAACTGCAAAGCTGTGACCTTATGTACTATCCTATCCCCGATTTCCATCACTCCCAGAACCTCCCCACAAAGATCATCTTTATTCTTCTTCTCAAAACAGCTAGCCAAATGGATTTAGTTAAACCAATATAATAACGACTATATAAAGAGGTCACCTTGAAGACAGTAAAGCACACCTACACGAAGCAGTGATAGCAGCAGAAACTAAGAAATTAATTTAGAACAGTGCAGTTATATTGGTATTCCTCTCTCTCCATATCTACCATTTTATTTTGGAGCAGTAACATCCGTATTTGCCAATTATATTGGTATAACTGATGGTAACTACCTGCGTATAAATTTATGCATTTTTTTCTATGTATCAGGAAGACAAAAAGAGAGACTTGAAAGCAGACAACCCCTAAGCTAAAACTAGACTACAACGCTACCAAAAGGGAGAAAGGCTCTGTTTGTAGAGATAGAAAGGTATTTCCTCCTTTTCTGCCGCTATGACTAGTTCTAAAAAGAAGCAAATTGTTATTGAAAATGAGTTCAGTATCTTTTCTTTTTTTTTTCAGTTGGTTGTTTTGTACTCAGGTAGGCTTTCTTTTTACACTTTAAGAGCATCAAAGGACAATTACAATTATAATTACAGTGAAGAACTCTCTTTCAAATACATTTATAAAGGCTTAAAGGGACAGCTGGAAACAGATGCCTTCCACTTCTGGAAAGATATTTTCTCCATGGAGAGTCAACTTAAAGGACAAAATGTTAATACAGACAAATCTGAATTTGTTTTATCTAATTATTGCCTTTATCTATCTTATTGTCTAATTGTTTATCTAATATTGTCTAATTATTACTACCCTATCAATCTGTCTCTCTCTATTTTATTGCTCTCAGTAAGCAGAGATTTAAGCTGGGACCACAACTCTATTCAAAAATCCTCAGAAAGAAAATTACCAACCACCAGTGTTAAAACTCCAAGATGTTAATGTTTTACTTTTTTTTTAAATACAAATTCCACAATGACACTCCAGTCAGAAGGAAAAGTCATAGAGGGTGAGGTTTCCTATCCCACCTAACACATTTTTGACTGTGAAGATCAAATAAGGACAATAAGAATTTCAGAAAACGGAAACATTACTGAAATAGAAATGCAACTTTTACCTTTTCATTTTAACTTGATACAGAGTTTCACTGAGATTTCAGTGAATACAAGAACTCTGAAGGACACTGACTCAAGTGTGGCAATTCACTGCAGTAATATTTAAAGTATTAAAAAGAATCCAAATACATATTTGACTGCCTAGCAACCCAAATTTTTCTGAAGCTCAAAGCTCATCCACACTGTTCTCTACAGCAGTAAACTGTTTTTCACCGCTAAGTGCATGCACTCTGAGAAGTCAGAGAATTTGGAGTCTAATGCATTTTTCATAGACAGCCTCTACAGAGACTTTGCTGCCCATGTCTGCTGACATGTCATGCATGCACAGTCAATGTTTGTGATGTTAGTGCACATGTGATGGGTAGCTATGGATTCAAGGGGTTAATACAGGGACATGCATGCAACAATGGCCAACTAGTCGGAATGGAGACACTACCTTTGACGAATATGATCTCTTGAATGCCAAGGCGTGTGGTACATAAATCGACTTTAAAGGGGAATGGTAAAGGAAAAAAACAACATACAAAATGAAGCAAAATCAGTTCAACATTGAAAACAGATGCACAGTAATAAAACAAAGCTGCTTTTAAATGAAACATGAAATTGTGCAAATGCTGAACACGGCCCAGATTGATTAAGCACAATGGAATTTTCGCCACAAAACAAAGGTTCGAGCATCCTTCTGAAGGCCATTAGGCTTGGGACCCTCTTTAAAGATGAATCCAACCTGTATATCCCACTTCTAGAGGGATTCTTTGCCCTCTGTAGTCTCTATCCATTGGATTTAATGTCTATTGAAAAAATAAGTGTACATGCATATAGAACATTTTGGCTTAAAATCTGCAATTATGGCTTTATCCTGGGCATGTTTGGTCTGAACTTGCTCACCCAATTATATAATACTTTTTGCCATACATTGACAGACTCTTTTACATATCTCCTACAAGTTCTGTTTATTTTGCGATTTTAAATGATCTTTACTTAATAAAAATGATCATTTACATTTAAATACCATCACAGTCCTCCTCACTGCTTTATGACTGGAGAAATACTACATGGGCTTAGAGCGGGTCACATATCCTGCATTAATGGAATCTTCCTGTCCTAAAAGAAAATCTCCAGAGAGTTTGAGGAGCTCAAATAATGGCATTGCATCACAACTGACTCAGTGTTGCTGCACTATGTAACATTTTCATTAGTGCTGCCTGATTCAGGAACCATTGCCAAACGGTTTTTTTTTCAATAATGAAACGAAACAAAAAAGTCATTTCCTTCTCTATCCAATGACATTATAAGTTACCCTGCACCCAGAAAACAAGGCAAATAGACTACTTGGGGTCTGTAAGAGAGGTGCATTTTCCTTCTGTCATCAACTGCAGAAGACATTGTGCCATTCTGGGGTAACAGCATTTTGCTTTTCATACAATAAACTAAAACCAGTCACGACTGAAAAGCCACAGAACTTAAGCATATATGCACACTTCAGTAACCAGCATACTGTCTGTAGTAGCAAATGCATGTCTGACCACAAATACCACAATTGTACAGGAACAATGACAAACACACACACAGATAATGACAAACATCTATTAACATAGAGCGTTAGGCTAGGAATTCTTTACAGGAAGCTTTTCTTGAAAGACAATATACTGAACAACACTGAATTATTCCACTGCTGATCACAAAAGACACACTGAACAACACTGAATTATTATTCCACTGCTGATCACAAAAGACAGGCTAAACAGAGCAAACTCTCTGGGGAGCAAGCTCACTAAAATAACCAAAAAAGCAGCACTAGCAGCATTTTAGTTTAGAGAAGGGGTTCACATAAAAATTATGTGGCGCACAGGAAGTCAGTTCTTACCATAAAGAGTAACAGGTTGTTTTTAACTTAAGATACATAAGCCCACCTGAAGTTGGTATGAACTCAGCTTTGTCAATCCAAAAGTCCAGCTACATTTACTTTGATAGCAAAGCATCCCAGGGTTTGCAAAAATGTTTTGACATCCTTAAGACAGGATGCGTTGCAGCTGGAGAGTTGAGTCCCGTTTCCTCTGAATAACTATATTCATTCTCAAAAGCCACTCCTTTAGAAAATAGGCAGATGCTGAGCAAAGAAATTATTAACATCATTCAGCAACAGCAAATGACAGAAAATGGGAAAGCAATACTTCGACAGAGTTGTGAGGTATTTTGAATATTAAGATTCCAGGTACCTGCCACTGATCATATCACCCCTAATTGTGGTGATGAGATTTTTTTCTGCAAAAGTTATTTTAAATTGAAGTAGGTCAGCACAGAAAATGTGACCGAGTTTGAGAACAGGCATGGACCTTAATGAAGCCCTGCTTCCTCCTGAAAGAGCTTACAGTGCACAACTGTAGCTTCATAAGTCTTATCTGAACCCCTTGTGCTGCAAGCCTGTCCTCTCCTAGCCACGGATACCTCATTCTTTTGCATCTGTTGCAAAACACAGAACTTCTCATGAAACGCCTTGATAGCATGCAAGGAGGAATGGAAGGGGAAGAGAGAGAGAAGAAGGAACCAAATGAAAACAAAATAATCTTCCCCTCAGAAAAAAATATATATACCAGCTAGGAAGAGGGAACAAGAGAGACGCAAGTAAACTCACAGAACTCCTACTTATTTCAACAACTTCTTCCTCTAGCCTCAAATTTGTTAGGTATTCTAATTTACTCCACTATACATATATACAGAGGATATCCAGTATTTCCTATGACATTCAATCTGCAATACTTCTATACCTCTGCCATCTGAGCCAAGTATCAAATAGATCCTGGCATTTGAGACTGATTTCTGCACACTGGATGAAAGGTCCAAGTTTGGATGCACAGACCACTCTGTGACAGTGCTTTCTTAGATAATCTCTTCTTTATGCAAACCAGACCCCACAAGGAAGGGACAGAAGGAACTCACTTTTCAATTTTCTGTACCAGTAAGGCCTTAATGTTCTGTGGGGTCAAACCATGTACCCATCTAGGCAGATCTTAGAACATCTCGGGAATGAAAGAAGCATTTTTCCCCTTATAATAAATTCAGCTGATTGACATTTTTTCCACTTATTTTAGCATTATTAGTGCCACACTAAGATTGAAATAAATAATCTACAAGCAACTAACGTAGGCTGTTAGTTATCTCCGCATATTTTCCAAATTGCAAATAAACTAAACATATCTTTTTTTCTCCCTGGACTTTTAGTGGCATCCACTTGTCTCTCTTCTGTTTGCTCCAATATCTTCCTTAACCATAATTAAAAGCCAAGGGCTAGAGAGAAAGGGCTTACTTTGTAATACTACAGCACTTGCTAGGGAAACCTGTGCAGGAACAAGAAATAGCTTTCTCAGAAGAGGCAGAGTTCATACCAACCTGCACCTGAATGAGGACACCAGGCTAAAACCAATCCCTATATACTGGGATTGTACAGGGACTTGCTATGTATTTCTGTATCACAGCTGTTATCTATAGGAACTGCCTTATGGAAATACCCATGCAGTGTCAAGAACTCAAAAGGAACATGATCAAAAGGGGAGAGAGAGAGAGGTGACAGTTCATCTTTTCTCCAAAAAGGGAAGATAGATACTTATTCAGTCTGTATACTTCCTCTTCTGCCAGGAACAGAGCAGCAAACTTAGCTGAGTTGCAAAACTGCAACCCATAGCTTACCTTTTAGTGGATGATCTGGCTTGACTTGATAGGTTCTTGATGCAACCAAAGTAACATTTCTGCTTGCAAATTGCTTGGAATTCTATCAGATCAACCCATTAAAGAGGACCCCTCACAACAACAGAAAGGACTATTTCATTGGTACCTTTTCGCCATGAGAGTGAATGAAATTACAGCACAGTCAGTGAAATTTACTCTTGATATTAAATTTCTGTTTTGTATAGATCACTGGCATGCTTACCACAGGGAGAAAAATATCACTGTTCAGATGGTGATATTCAGCTGTAAAGCAATGTCTCAGTGAGATAACAATTCCTTCATATAACAATAAGGAATTACTCATATTCATGAAACTAACTGATTTTAGGTAGATCATTCAGCCAATTTACAGGAAAGCCAGCACAACAGAAGAAACAGCGAGAATGACAAAATTAATCAAATTTATGTTGTGGTTCTAAGACTGTGATCTAAAAGATGCTTGCCTTATCTAAAATGCACTCCCCATCTGCCTACCTCTCGCTTGGATTTCTGGGAGGAACGTTCTAAAACATCATCACTGGAGAGGTCAGAGTCCTCTGAGAAACTCAGGTGTCGACGTAGCTGCAAATCTGAGGAACCAGGGATAAAAAAATAATGTTAGAAAAAGGGCAATTATGATAGTCCATTTCTCTCTGGAAACATTTAAGAAGTCAGTTGATAAAGCTGATTAAGTTTCAAAAATATTTAGTCCTTCACACTACTCTCTGCTGCTTCAGACAGGATTATATAGTGACCAGATTATCATTAATCCAAAGATGAACAGCATTAATTAGAAGCTTCATTTTAAGAGAGCATCATCTTTGGCAAATAATATTAGGAGTAATGGTCATGACTCTACCCTTCTATTGTATTAGTGCTCTTATGGATAGATCAGAATTTGGATGAAAACAGCAGGCAGCATTTCCACTATTTGTACAAGGCCAAGGAAATGTTATGTGTCTATTTTCAACCATGTTTATGGCTAACTTATTTACTTCATCACAAGTTATCATTAAAAACATCTGCCTGCACCTGATAACATGTGAGAGATTTACATAAGACCTCAGAATCCCCATTTCTTAGATCAGTAGAGAATTTGCAGGATTACTGAAAACACAGCAGAAACTGTGTCTCTGTGATGTTCAGCATCCAAAAGAAAGAGAACAAAGTCCCGAAGGGAAAGATGACAATCAGATTTAAAATAAGGATGCATGATTCTGGCAAACAAGGTTTTTTTCTCAAGTCAGTCGAAGGCAGAAAACAGGTATGTCTTGTATATATCGAGTGAACCTTCCATTTAAGGATCCATTTTCTTTGTTCATTGTCATACACACTAACTCTGCAAACACACAAATTGCATTCATTCAATGTATTCATTCATCCTGACCTGCACAATAGAAAAGGAGAGCAGTGTCACACTGCTCAATATCACACAGAACTATATTTACTTTCAAGGATTCCTAGCTGTATCAAAACTATGGAGTGCAGAGGCACATATCAGTCATACCTGCTGCTGTAACCAGTGGCAAAGGCTTGTGCTTGCCTGAATCCACAGTGGCACTACTTGAGGGAGTACTTGGGCACTTGTCATCAGTCTTTTTCTTCTTGTCTTTCTTATAACCAGAAAAAACAGACTTCCATAATGATTTAGTTTTTGTTCCTTCCTCTGTCCCACCACTAGATTTGTCGGAAAGCCTGCTGTCATTTTTGGATTTCTTTTCCTTTTTGTTTTTACGAGGGGAGAAAAGAGAAGTTCTTTTCTTACTCTTCCCACTGGAGCCTTCTGAAGAGGTGACGGACCCTTCAGGCCCAGCTACATCAGCAAGAGGAGTGGAGAACTTTTCACTAGCAGCATCATGCTTTAGTGTAGAGCTCTCTGCTATTTTCAAGGCCAAGTGCTTTGGAGAATCATAAAATAACTCCTTGGTCTTCATGGGCATGGAAGATGCCTTTCGTGCCCTTGCAGCCCCAGCAGCAGCAGCAGCCACCATCTCCATATCTTTCATTTTACACAACTGTTTAGCCATGGCATCACGTAGTGCTTGGCTCTTGACAGACTTCTCTCTGGCTCTCATTCTTTCTTCAGCGAGCTCCTTGGCTTCTGGAGAAATTCCAGGCAGCACTCTTTTCTTTTGGTTAACCTCTCCTTCCATTGAGGGTGGACCACCATTTTCTTTGACCAGGGGCAAAAGAACTGGTTTCTCTGGCCTTGGCCTACTGGTAGGAGGTGTGAAGAACTTCTCTTGAAGAGTCGTGTCCTCTGTTCTCTCATCATATGTATCCTCTACATCATCAGCAAATGGAATCTCATCTACACTCTCTGCAAAAGACTTCCGCACTTCTTCTTTTTTGGCCTGAGTTGACTCTGTGGCAGCAGAGGCTGGCTCATACCGTAGGGGAGCAGGAGGTGTTGCTGCTGGTGTTGGAGGTGACTTGGCTTCAACCTCATTCTGCCAAATTGCTTGATGCCTCTTTTTACGCAGAGTAGCTGGTTCTTCATCCCGAGGAGGTGGTGGAGGTGGACTTGATGGAGGAGTAAGCATGGTAGAGTCAGAAGTGTTGAAGCTCTGGCTAGCCATTGTTCTCATATTAGATGAACTCTCCTGAAGGCCAAGACCAGAACTGCTGGACACATCTCTCCTTACTTCATTGGAGTTCTTCAGATCTTTTTCTGATGGAGATTTTGGAGTGAGCAGAGAAATCTGCTCATTTTCTAGTTTGGACAGTCCCTGTCTTCTTGGGGCAGGCTGAGGTTTCACAAGAGGAATCCTCTCCTCCCCTGAAACATTTTCAGTGTTGAAAGACTTCAGCTGAGTTGTCTCAAGGGCAGACACATTCAAACTTGGCTCTGAGCGTTTGTTTCTGTCTACTGGGGTGAGGCCTAAGCTCCTCCGGATTTCTGCACTCTTCATCCAGAACTCTTCTACAAGATTACTCCGTTTCAGGGCTTCTTCTGCTGTAGTAGGGCTCCCCAGTTTTTCCACCTCACTCTCCTGGCTCCTTAGGACCAGTTTGGCTAGAGGAGTAGACGTTAAGGCTGGGACAGGCTGGAAACATACTGGAGGCTCCACTGGGGATGGAATAGTCACTTCAGTAGAAGGCAAAGGCTGTGAACAGATAGGCGTTTGAGAAGATGTTGGGGATGAAGCCGATGTTGGTGCTGCTGGCTGAGACTCAGCTGGTGATGTAGGTGCAATGGCTTCTGGTAATGCAACTGGCTGGGATAATACTGGAGAGAGTGGCACTGAAGGGCTCTTAACTTTCCTGTCTTTTGGGATTTCATCCTTTGGTGCTTCTTCAGGAATGAAAGGCTCGGGGAAAAAGCGTGCCTCAGGAGATTTTATAGGATGGGATACTGCAGGAAGGACATCTTTTGCATCCTACAAAAGTGGGGAAAAAAAGAATTATTAAAAAGTCACTAGGCTAAATGTTATTCAATTTTTGTTGCTATCAAGGGAGTTTGCAATACAGAAAACATCCAAGAATCAAAACATGAAAACAAACAAACATGTATGGCACCACTTTCCCAGGCCTAGAAAGTCACTTAGGGTATTTCATCAGGTATGGTTCTCTGTTTCTTTTGTGTAAACAGTAAAACAAGGCAAAACTAATTTTTGGAAGAAAAAGCATGCTAAACTGCAGAAAAAAAAAATCTCTTCCTGCTCTCTCTTCCCTTTCCCCACACTGTATACTATGGTGGTTCCTTATCTCATAGATTTGATAACAAGTCTTTCCAGCTATTATCAATACAGCAGTTTGCCAGTGTCTGCTTTAAGTTTATGGTTTCTTAAGACAAGAAGAGCTTTTTCTTCTAGGAGTAAATTAGGCTGCAATTACCCATCCCTTAATGGTCTGAGGAGTCTGGGTTTCCATCTCCTGCATGCAGACTGTCGTATTATCAAGATTGCATTTCTTTGTTTTACAATTGAATCCTTTGGCAGTGAACTCCTCGTAATGTGTTCTGGTATTATTCTTTCCAATTACATTATTTTGCAAAAGTTCTCTTTTAAATGCATTAAGCTTGGGTTAAGTGACAGAAGATCATCAGAGCAGGAACCTGTCTGTGTGCTTGTATGAAACTCCAGAATGCCCAGGTCTGGAGTACTGCATCTGGCTGCTATCCTAATATAAACAGTAATTATGTCTAATGTAATAACTAGATGTACCTAGAAAAATAAAAAATCTTGATTTTAACAGAGTGAATGCTGTAAGCAATTGTCAGCAAACTAACCTTATCTTCTAATCTATCCACTATATAAGCAAACAGGATTAGTCCTCCACTCTGTGGGAAACTCTAATCTTTTAACGATTCCTTATAAACAGACACTTAGAAACAAACAACAGCTTCAGATGAACTTTTATGGGTTATTTGCTTCCTGCTCTTACACACCAGTTATTAGACACATAGTAAACTCTGAACTGTAATGAAGTCAGATTTCAAGATCAACATAAGATAGGAAAGCAGGAAAGACCACTGCTGTCAGTCCATATTAGCTTATCTGACAGACTGTTCCATTGAACTACAGGAAGTAAATAGAGAGCATCTAAGATCCCTGTTCTTACCTCTGTTTGTTTTGCTTTCGGACTATCAACAGGAGACAGAGGAAGAACACTGTCATTAGCTGGATGGATAGGGAAGGATGGCTTGCACGGATCTAGGGAAAGTGAAAACATGTTTCAGAAAACAAACAGACCACTAATACTGCTTTTTTGTTGTTACATACAGGACATGGTGACAAAAAAAAATTCTTAGCTTTTTACAAATTCTACATTGGACAGCCAAAACCTAGTCAAATTTTTGCAAATGCCCAAATTGTGTGCAGGCTTGTTATACGAAAACTTCTACAAGAAAAAAAGCAGTTACATGAGCTCTCACATGTTTTAGGAAGCTCTAAGCAATGGAATCAGAATACCCTTCTCAAAATGCTAATGCAGGCACCTACTGTGACACTGAGACCAGTGAGATGATCCAATTCCAAAAGACTGTCTTCCCTGTCAGCCCACTTAGTAAAACTAATAAATACATAGACTATCCAGAGTGCAAGTTAAAATCATTCAAGTGTCTACCTTCTGACACACTGCAAGAAGCACCTTCTGTTCCTTCTTCATCTTCTTCATCTTCAGAGACTTTCAGCTCTGGTTCTTCTATGTCCCCTTGATGTAAGCGAAACTCAGCTTCTGCATCAGATGCAATGTCATCTGATCATTAATTATACAGACAGGGGAAAAAAAAAAAAAGAGATCTTGAATACGAGTCCAGCAGGATATATGTTTATTTTCAAAATCTTTCATAATCCTCCCTATCCACATGCTTCTTACCACTGTCATAATCTGAACATCTAAATACTTTCCTTTTTATTATATGTTAATTAGAGCAACTCATCAGCAGGTGATGGCTGATTAAATAAATAAGTAGGTGAAACCATATCTTCTCAATCTTCTGAAAGATTTTCAGCCTTTTCCGAGTTTTGTAGTTCTTTCTGCATTAGTTTTGACAGAGTGTCATAGACTTCTTACAAATTTACTTCTATTTAAATTATTCAGCAGTATTAATTACTGAGTAAGGACACCAGACTGAGCCCTCTAACTCAGCAGATGTTGAGAGGAATGCAAGGAATTTATTCTACAACACATGGCATTGAGGTTCTTCATCCCTATGTCTTTCACCCCTGCTTTAACCTTGTCTATCTGCAATGAACTCCTTCCTGCATCACTAGAAAAAATATCAGGCTGAGGTACAAAATATTTGCTTTTGCCAGTGCTTGTATTGCTAGTATGATTTTGTTCATATAGGAAGGCTTAAACGGTGCATGGTGGTATCCTACCGTCATCCAGTTCCGCACCCGTGTCTCCCTCTTCACCTGCCTGCCCTTCCGTGTCTGCAGGCTCTGTGCCCAGCTCATCCTCTGCTTCATTATCCTCACATGGAGCTAGAATATATTCAAGTATTGAGAGAAAAAAAAAAAAAAAGAACAAAAAAAAACTACACAGTGAAAAGGTTCTACATTAAATTGCACCACATGTCCCTAGTGGAAATACTAATTACTGTGAAAACAAGGAATTCTTAAGCGTGTCAGCTGAAGAGACATACATGGTCAAATGATACTTTCAGCCTCCAAGAAGTCAGAGCCCCTGTCATTGGGAAGTCTCCAAGATCAGGAAGGCAGCCAAGATTTTCTGAGGCACTGGCCTCGCAAAAAAGAAAAATCAGTGAGAAGGGGACTGGGAAGACATCAAACCAGAATAAAGTTTACTGTTTTCTCAGCATTTTTTTTTCTTTACCACAATACAGCAGTTTACCATCACTTTACAGCATATGTGTATTAGCTGAAAACTTTTACAATGTAGCACAACTTCCTTTTTTTTTTTTTTTTTTTTGAGAAACTGAAGCAAATTTTCAAAGGTTTAACATAGAGACAAAGAGTTTAGCTCTAGGACTGATCATTATTACATTTGGAAATTGTTTAACTCTGTGCTGCTATAGTATTCTTTAGTAAAACACTCTGAGAGACTTGGTGCATTGTAGAAATATCGAGATCCCAGATCAATTAAAATATTTTAAAGTAAATAAAAAGATGCATTCAATTTTTTTTTGTTCGTAGAGACCACAATTTGATATGTAGGTTGAATATACAGACAAAATTGTTGAATTTATAACACCAAAGGGCACACTTTAAAACAGCACCTGTGACAAGATTTCATTAGAGGAGAAGTACACAGATGTGCAGGTCTAAAATTCTTTTTTAAATGATATTTAAAAAAAATAAAAAAGACCCCACTAACTCTCAGCTTATCACACCTTTTCCCTTCTCTGGTGTTTTGAGTGATTGACTAGAAATTTGTTGGTTTTATTTAGGCATTTTCGTGTTATGCTGTATGTCAGACATAATTTAAATAAAAAAAAAGTGATTCCATTTTTTTCACTGCTGAGTCCACCAACTATATTTTTGGATCTCTGCAGCCATCTATTTAATGTCATCAGCATGGAGACACTTAGCTTGTTTTTTATGTGTCCACATTGCGAATGGGTACACAGACAACACGAGTACTGTTATGTACAGTGTTTACTAACTAAACACACAACATCCTAAATGATGATAGCAGGTGCATTGGTAACTTCCTTGGTCACACCTATACCAGCAAACTAAGCAGTGTAAGCCTCCAGACCTGGACACACACATGGCCATGCTATCATTTCTGTTGCTAAATCGGTCGGAGGGCTCCTGGCAGCTTCCTGGCAGTTACTTGCCATGGTGAAGCTGCAGTGTGTTCCTCTTAGGCAGTCTGCAAGATGATAATGAAGTTTTAGCCATATGGGTGCACATCAGGTTTTGGTAGTTTTCTTCAAATTCAGAGTGTGGGCCCTGGACCTTTTTATTTACTAGTGAAGATGTAGCCTTTGGAACCATTTATTAATCATGGCAATCTTAAAAAAAAAGTTTCTAAAAGTGAGATCTTATTGTGTCTCCTTCTCTAATCCAGGTTTTTGCTTATTTCAAAACATAGCCTTTTGCTTTTCCCTTCTGTAGTATTAGTTAGTTCATTTTCTGCAAACTGTTGTGCAAATGCAGTTATACCCAAGTGTGATAAAGCACTGGTGTATTCCCTCTGGTGTATTGGAGGCTTATAAAACCCAGTCTTACAGATCTAGAGCCCAGGAGTTGAGCAATAAAGGCTGGTTTTCCCACAAGGGCATTTATAGACATACTGAACAAAACCAAACTGTGCCTCTGACTGTTGCTTTGGTATGCTCTAGCGAATGTGATTTTGAAAAAAATAATGCCATAGGATGGTTTTAAGGTAAAACCAAATGTGAATACCCTTAACCAAAGTTTGGAAGAATATAACTCTGATGTGCATGAGTGTCTTCTGATGTAGAAACCATAAGATATGCATATATGCACAAACACGTATGCAGTGTTTTAGAGAGAGAAGAAAAATCAACCTTTTAGATAGCTTGGTATATAAAACTCAACAAAAGATTTTATGGATGCATAGATAAGTAACAACTTGGTGCAAAGGGGATCCCATTTTGAGGGACACAGAAAGCTTGCAAGTGACTGGTTATATTACACATATACTGTGCATATACGTATACGCAGTTAAGGTAGAGAGCAAGAGGCCAAAAGCTATCACACACTACCTTAGAAGCTACACACTACAGCAGCCAGCAACTGGGTTTAGCACTTTGTCCATCTCAGCTATCAGCCATGAGCAGGCTGCATCATGTGCAGCCACCCTGTGAACGCTGCTGCCTTGCCAAAGCAGCAGCAGAAGCAAAGTTTTATAGGTGAGCTAGTTATTCTGACGTGCCAAAGCAACATAGCCATAGATCAACTGCATATCCATGAACTACTCCTGTTCCACTGCTTTAGATACTTCCAGCTGCTTTACAGAATTTGACTCCCTTACTCTAATCCCAGACTCTTCACTCATCGGTTCTGCAATAGATATTAGAGAACCAGCTAAAGAGGGTAACTGAACTTGATCATCCTTCTGCTCTCCTGAGGCTTTCCTAAGTTACATGAACTCCAAGTCAAAGGAGACACAAGAGCTATCACTACTCCCAAAGACCCCATCTTAAACTTCACTTTTATTGCTTACTTTCTTCGCAAGATAGCTAGACTTTGCAATTGCTTCAGATAATTACAATTGCGTGAAGCACACTCTATCGCTTAACCTCTCAACTGCAAAAAAGCCCCACATTTTTAGTCAAGAAGCTGGAGGAAGCATAACTGATCTACTCTTCTGTTCATAAAGCAAATCAAAGCGCTCTGCCAGATTCCTCCTCCTACTTCAGTACACCGAAGATAACCCCTCTGTTTGGCTTGCCTTCCAAAGGGTTACAACAAATGTCCAGTTCATGCAGGAATGGGCTGTCTTGAGCAAGGCATGCATGCACACTCCCCTTCCTCCCTCCCTCCCCTGCCAGTCATGCAGTAGCGACAGGGCCATAAGTTCCAGGGTTAAAGTACCAGCTCAGCTGCTGAAGGCATGGAGAAGAGACGGGCAGGGTTATTGTGCATTGGAATACATAGAACATCACCAAACTACCTCCAGGGACCGTCTCCAGCCACGCCTGTACCGCCTCACGGCGTACGGAGGGAAGGTCGGATGCTGAATTTAAAAAACAATAAATTATAAGAAATCAAAATTAGATCATCAGGAAGTGTCTAAAAAGTGAAACGTGACACAAGGGAAAACTTTCAGTAGAAAATATAGGAACAAAACCTACAAGATGTTAAACCATTGATCATAGGCTTGGGATTTAAAGTAAGCTAACACACAAATGCCCAGAGCCAAATATTCCTCTAGGATCTGGGATGTTAGAGGAAATGCAAATGATAATGTAAGAAAAAAACAGTTCTTAGTATCTGATTAGCACATTGCTATTGCCATACTCAGCTGGAAATTTTGTAGAGGAAGAAAATTAATAGATGAGAGAGCCGAGCAATGAGACATAACCGAATGTGTCAGGCACAGTATTTCAGAATCTGCACTGCCCGGCTTTGAACGCGACCAGACAAGGAGGAAACCCTAAAACAGGACAAGAGAGACTTCAGTGTTTCAGCCATGTTATTCTAGATCAAACCCTACCTCTAGCTGCTCCTCTGCTGAGCTCTCTGAACGAGCTCATACGACATAATGCAGATCACCCAGGAACAAATCTGTCTATCCAACTCAGACTGAAAACTTATGGCATATCCGCAAGTACATATCTGCAACAGCTATTTTATAAACAAACCACCGATACGTTCTGTACCACGGTGTAAATGAAGCAGCTACCTATTGGTGAGTGGATTTTCCTAGTTTGGCCTACTTTGAGGGAAAGGGAAGGAAGTACTGCCTGATTCCCAAAAGAAGCTGGAAAGACTGCAGAATCACTTTGGTAGGATCAACACAGGTTCTCCCTTATGTTGGTGGCAGCTGTACTAATATACTCTGGAAAGGCAGGAATCAGAAAATACCAATTAAAAGAAAAATTAAAAAGCTAGAGGGTCATAGACCTTTAAGCAGAACTGCATGAACCTTAATTGTGACAAGCTTAAGAAACCATGTTACCATTTTTTACTTAGGATTCTTAAATTTTAAACAACCACTTCAGGAATATTAAATGTTATCAATGGTGGAATAGGTACCATTTCTATGATTGCATGGGAACGAAATACTGATCTCCTACTTGTATAGGACAGATTTCACACTACCAAGTACAAGTGCATTCTGTAAACTGCAATTATAAACTTAGCTTAACTGAACTGTAATTATTACTGTATTATTACCCTTTGGATTTAAAAAAAGGACAGCTAGAACTACAAGGAAAACGTAATTACCTTGCATGGAATAAGATCACGTAACATGAGGTACGATCCTAGCCTTTTTTTAACAGTACAGATCAGTCGTGAAGTTAATTTTACATTTACTGTAAAATAAACCCCTTTCACAGTACATTTATTCTCTCCACAATTCTGGCACAATCACTTTGATGGAGGTCACTTAAGCAGCATCACTAGCTTTGTTTAACTTTGGGCTTCTAGATAAGTAAAGCATGTATGGCATACTTACCTTTGGACACCCAGTAATATAGTCTAGCAAGTGGTCAGGTGCAGAGGTCAGCCCAGTAGGGGCTCAAAAGACTCAAAAAGACCATGCCTCACTTTAAAAAATAGATAACTGGCTAATCTTAGCTACCTTTGAATTCTTGTCCTTCCCTGGTAATATCAGCTGCAGTCACACCATTTGAAAAGCAAAAGCAGAGAAATACGCTCAGAAGGTAGAAGCCAGGGCTGTGCAGTCTCTCCCTGTAATGCACGCACCACACTTTAGCTTTCATTGCCCCCAGAAACCTGTGGCAGCTTCTGGTACTTCATCTCAAGTCAGCTACCAAGGGCTGATGCCTAGCTCTAGGTAAAGCATTTCCACAGAATAATGCAATGGAGTCAAAATAGGCACATTTTTCAGAAATCACAAAACTCAAAGCATTTCCACAGCAAGGAATAATGCAATGGAGTCAAAACAGGCACATTTTTCAGAAATCACAAAACTGCTGAGCTGAGAAAGCAGTCATTTTAGGCAAAAACTAACCTGAAAAGCAAAATGTTTAGCCAACTGCACTTTCAGAAACCAGCACCTTTGAATCACTATCGTCCCTTCTGAAGAGCACTGCTCAGAAAGGGCGCAGAAGCAACAGAGTTAAACAGCTGCAATTGTCATCTAGGAACTGACAGTGCACGGGGAGATTACCTCTGGAGGTGGAGGACTTTGAGGCTGGAACCATTTTTTCCTCCTCCTCTTTTTCACGGATGTGTGTCCAGTGCACATCTGCCAGGATCTCCAAAGGATCAACCGGATTTACAATCTGCTGCAGTCTAAGGTTTCCAGCTAGCAGATCGAGGACATGGCAGACCAGGATGTAGGTGGGGGAGGATGAAGGACAGGGAGGAAAAGGTGGGAGAACAGTGGAAAGGAAAAGTAACACATCACAGGAAAAGAAATATGGAAAGAAGAAAATATTACTGACCAAGATCAGTTTGCAAGACAGACAGAAAAAGCTCAGCATGGGTGTGCACGCATACACCAAAACAGTAGGTTCCTGCTCCTCACGTTCCACATCAAAGCTAAATCATGACATTCCAAAGGCAAAGAGATGCTTACTGAAAACTTCCTTACAGGTTATATCTATTGTAAGCGGCTTCGGTGAAATAGAAGACATTTTCTGGTGTCCAACAGATATGTGATAAGCAAATAGCAATTTACCAGAAATTTCCAGCTCTTTTAGCCTCCCCAACATGATTATTGCCAAAGACATCTTGCTGTTAAAGGCAAGGGACAATCTGCATCGTAGTTTGATGCACCAAAAGAAAAGGATCTTCATTCCCCAATATCTGGTTAAGTATTCCCTTCTTTGACAGGTGTATCTTTCTTTGTGAATTAAACTACATGTTGGACCTCAGAGTTTCTGGTCTATGTGTATGCCCATATGCACACATGGCCACACATTCCCTTTAACAATTAAACACACTACCTACTCCTGCTATTTTCCACTAACTGGGTTGTTTAAAGGGTAAAGTGCTTACTGAGCAGTCTCAACATCTTCCTTATGACTTACCTCCTCCCCACAAAGATTTCCCTTTGCAAAAAGGGATTGTTTTCAAATGAACTACATTATTGCTCCTTTCCTTCACTTGCCTACACAAACAGGAAAGCATCTGAGAAGCAATTCATTCAGTTGCTGATTGAATACTCAGGTTGAAAGCATCTTCCCCTAAGATGTGTCTATTATCTTCACAGACCCTTTCACTGGTCTTCAAGGGCAAATGACTCATCCTGATTAGCAAAATGCCCACTTTATAAAATTAAGTCAATATTCATGGGCAGATTATCACTGTGTAGGGCAAACCACTATTTCAGCAGGAAATTAAGTCAATATTCATGGGCATGTGTAGGGCAAACCACTATTTCAGCAGTTTAGGGTTCAAAAGCAGTTAGACTTTCATATGCTGGATTAGTGGTTGGAAGGAAACAAGAAACATGGCAGCCTTTAGAAGCCACACTCATCAATTTCTGATGTCCTGTTTTAATGCAGTTACTCTCTCACAGCAATGTTCCCCCCAGACATTACAAAGTGTTTCAGGAATGACTGGGTACGATTGCTGTCATTAAAACTTTCATTAAAAGAAACAAGCAGAAGAAATTGCAAGAAGGCCAGAATCTCCAGGTAGTGATTAAAGGGGAAAAGGAATGAGACACAAACTCAAATGCAGAGTAGGATTCACAAGTTAAGACACATATTTAGCAGCTTCATCTCTCTATTACCTCATTAGAAACCAATTCAGCACAAAAACATTGTCTAATCAGAGCTACTTGACATCCTGTAGAAAAAGTTTTTTCTCACCGCATACCAAAGCACTCACATGCAAGCCCCAAGATCAGTAGAGTTAGCATTTGCATCCCCACACAAAATTTTGTGTTAAATGGTTTAGATTTGCCAGCAATGGCTGCAAAATATATAGGCACTCAGAAAGGCTCAAAAAGAGCAGGTCCCACGTGATCTGCATGTTTTTAACAGGGATTTGCCTGTGATTTAGCCCAGTGTAACATAAGCACTTGCAGTCAACCCCCAAGACTCTATAAAAAGGCCTAGGCCTTGATTAGGAAATAGGCCTTGTTCAGCTTTCAATATGGAAAATGCAGTTTGAACAGCACAAACTGTCAAGGATGGCTACTTGGTTAACAAGCAAATCTAAGATTTCTCCAAGTTATGAATGCTTGAGAATTTCAAATGACAGCTGGTGTGGCCTTCTCCGCGGCTGCCTACTACAGCTTTGCAAGAAGCTGTACATTTGTTCAGCCTAGGACAGGCAAAACTAGTTTTACATTAGCACTTACCAGCACTTAGTAAGAAATGGGCAGTCTTAACATTTAGTTTTTAATGGAATGTGAAGTCACTCACAAATCAAGTTTTTAGAAGCCAGCTATAAGGCAAACCAGCAACTAAACATGGGAAAGCTTTTCTATTTATGCTCTTAAGACATCCTACTACTACTGTTAATCCTTCTTACAAGAACAGTTAAATTGGGAGAAATGTAGTATCTCAGATTTATTCTTTTATAACTATGGCAGATGCTAAGATACAGTGGCTACAACTGTAAAGTCCCAAAGTATGTAGCTTGACAACTGGGTGTGCCTTCTTACCTGAACGAAGGCCTTTGGATTTTCTTCTCATGTTAATGAACCACATTGAGTGAATAATGGATTAACAAGCTATTAGGACCAAGTGCTTCAAAAAAGCAACTATCAGAAATTTATTATGGAAAAAAGCACAGTTAACTACACTGGAACACCAAATTATCTTCATGGACATTTTGTGACTTTGAAAATTCTCAGGATCTCCAGAGTTTGATTAGCTTCCCCAACAGACTCTCCCCACAGACACACATTCACAAAGGACAACAAGAAAAAATGCAGACTTGCTCACACAGGCATCAAATTGCAGTAATCGTGATGTGTCCAGTGTGTCTGAGATATTGCACAGGTGCAATTAGTCTCTATGGAACAAATCTGAAATGTCCTAAATCAGTGGGTTCAGTGTTCCGGCACATTATAGTTGCGGACTGATCAGGATTTTGAGATATCTTGAAGTATTTGCATAAAATCATTAGAGATGACAGAACTGGAGTACAGCAATTGGATCAAGAAGTAAAGAGAGCAATAGTGACTGGCTTCGTTTTGAGAGAACTGGTAAAGCAATTACATAAAAGAGAAAATTTTATCATGTGGGACCTGCTCTTTAAAAAGCTCCCCCCTACTTAGGAGGAAATTGAAGTGGAAATGGTATATGGGTACCTTTAAATGTACCCGTGTCCTCTTCATTTGAGAGACGTTGAAGCCAGAGGCCTTGCTGCAGCTCTCTCTCCCAAGGGCAATACTCTCCCTCTACAGCAGAGGGAACCACACATCCACATATAACACCAGACACACGTGTGTGTGCGTGTGTGTGTGAACACACAAGCAATGGAGAGAAAGAGAGAAAGTACAGAATCAAAAAGAAAGAATTGCCTGCAAATCCAGTGAGTGTTACTCCCACTGTATTTAATGTGCCTGACAGGAAATCTCTGCTTGACAGAAACAAGGGCTATCTGAGAATGCCATGGTTTAGCAGATAAAACACAAAACATGCAAGTTACCATACATAAAAAGCAGTCTTGACTTTCAAAGGCTTCAGCTATGGAGACACAGTTCCTAAGCTGAAAAGGTAGCCAAGCAGCATGTTGAGTTCACGAACAAGAACTGCCACTCAGACTCAGTGTAACTGGACCACTGCTTGTACAAGGAGGCCAAAGACCTTAACAAAGAAGCTCTTTGGAGTCAAATAGTCTTTAGCAAAAGGGAAATGAAAGTACACAGACAAGATTAATAAGAAATCTGAAATGGTGGCGAAATGCTGAAGACATGTATATTCTTAACACAAGCTTTGCATTATGATGACTGAGACAAATGGAGGAGAAAGAGTCTTCCTCTAAGATTTTCCACAGAAATCCCTCAGAGCTAAAATGAGGACAACCTGAATTCCCTGTATTCTCAAGACCTTCTTTTAAATAAGAAGAGCTGGAAGCAGCTTCTGGCATGCCTTCATGTTAGCTGTAGGGGACCACTTCTGGGTGAGGCACCCTGCAAAACTGAAAACGCAGTCTCCACAATGCTTCCCGTTCTTGCTGCCAAAGAACAAAGGGCACATTCCAATCCAAAACCCAATAATAATAACAAACAACAATCAAACAATGCATTCTCACAAAGCTGTGAGCTGCACATGTTGGCAGGGTGAATGGGAAGCATATTGCGTTGTCATTAATGCTGTAACTATCCTGCAGGGAAAGCTCTTCCGTAACCAGAATGAGCCACCTAAAACTTTCCTTGACTCATTAAAAATCAAAGTAACATGAATGTGAAGAAGAAAAGACAGATCTCCAAGGCAAAGCTTTTTCGTTCTGTATTTCAAATACCCAGCTCAGTTTTCATTTCTATTTAGCAGAAAGAAAGGGCAAATCAATCTGTCTAACCTTCACTTGACTGCTCATCTTCCTCCTCTTCATCTTCTTCATCCTCGTCATATTCTCCCTCTCTGTCTTCAATCTCAAGATTCTCCTCGGCTTCAATCTCTTCTTCAAAAAAAAATCAGCAGGGCATGGATTCGCACAGCCTCTTTCCACGGCACGCCGCCCAAGTCTGAAGGGGGTTGCCGAGGCAGTAGTTCATCATCATCTTCCTCATCTTCCTCCTCCATCTCAGACTCAGAACTACTGCTTAAAAAAAGACAGCAACCGGTTAACATTGCTTAGATGAATCTACAGATGACTGACAAGTTATTTCAACACATAAAACATACAGTGGAAACTTGTCACCTTCTTTCAACATTTCATAGGCATTTCAGCTGCAGCTTGATCAGTGAGTTGCAGTTCGGTCTGTGCCCTGCTTCTTTTCACAAAGATGAAACAGCATAAAATCACCTGTGAAGCCGCATCCAAATATTTGTGCAGCAATCACTGTTACAACACCTGAGCATACCAAGCTTGAACGCTAAGGCCCAACTTTACTGGAGACAACCACAGAGGCTTTAGGAAGAGAAAGAATACAATGCGTAACACAATGATCAGGCCAAAGCATACAGCAATGTGAGCTAAGGACAGCTGGAGAAAAATGCAGAATTGCACACTTCTCTGCATGACACACAGCACTATCATATGTATCAAATTAAGTGCAGAGTGTACATAGTGGCGTGAAGCTGCAGGAAACACTGCAAGGACAATTACAATAATGTGTCCATTATTCTCCCCGTGAAGTCTAAAGCATGGAAAACAATATACATATATCATCAGCACTTTTTGGTGCACATTTTTGTTTAACTCCTCATAAAAAGCCACAGGGGGGAAAAACTGCCCACAAAAGG